CCCTTTGATATAATCCTTGTTGACAAGGTTGCAAATTTTCCATCAAAAAAGTGAAAAACGAAACGTTAAAATCCCGTCCCATTGGTTAAACTTCATCATCTTTTCTACTTCTTAGCTCTTATTTGGATGATACTTGACGAGACCTATTCTATCGTATGTAGTGATAATATAAAAAATGGAAATAAATACGCTATAAAAGCAATATATAAATGAAAAATTAAAAATGGAACCAAAAAAATGAACGCCCCCCTTACGAGTTCTTCCAACATAATATTTTTCGCTTTTACTTAATGCATATCAGCTTTAATGGAAACATTTCTTTAATCTCAGCCGAAAAATATGCAATATATTTTACTTTTTTATTTTGATAGAAAATCTTATAAGGGTTTAAAGCCAAGATATTTGTGTCCGATACCATTCAATCACTAACAGATCGCTCTTATGGTTTTTTTTTATTAAATGTGCTTTAAGGCAATAAAGTCGAAATAAAATCCATACTAAGACGAAGTCAGGAAATTTTGACCGAAAAAACCAAAACTGAGATCAGTACAGTCATTTAGGGGATATCGCCTATTCGTGTAACACGGTGATGTCCAAAAAGAAATCACGAAATATTGGAAGCCCCAATATTTACACACGATTTGAATTTGCTGCCATGTGTCCGGTAAAGTGTTGTCAACCAAAAAAAAGACAACAATTTGGTTGCTGACAATTTAAGGTTAATAATAATAAATCCTTACACGGGGGAGCAACGCATTGCTATTGTTGAGCAATATTTCACATATAATGATAGTTTGTCGACAATAGTGCGCAGATTTGGTACAAAATATAGTCGAAATATTGATTTAACTTCACCAACCGATCATCAATGTGATTTAACATCACTGAGTTTATGTTTATGGGATTATTTGACCGCGCAGCTCTATACCTTGGAGTACTGAAGGAGGAGACTCGATGCTGCATCAATGAAATTCAGCCACATTTATGTAAAATAATCAGGTAAAACTTCGATAAAAGAGTGAGTATTTGCCAGCAAAGTCATGGAGGCCATTTGCCCGATCTGCTATTCCACGTATAACCATGTCCTACACGCATTACGGTTCAATAAAAAAGTTACAATAAAAAAAAAAATAACTCTGTAAAAACTCGTGGACGTGTGATATTTCTGTTATTATCAGCGATTTTATTACGTCATCTATCATTCTCGTTAATGGTAGGGGCAAATAAATATTCTGTTAAAGATTTTGTGGATATGACTTTACAGTGTAATTTACAAAGCAAAAGCATATACAATTCTGCGATTTTAAATGACCGTGCGCCGCAGTAAAAATGTGAGAATATATGAGTCCAGTCCATTCCTTCCAATTGATTTTCCCAAAAAATGAACTCCTTAGAGAGGAAAAATCCAAGTGCACAAACGCAGCGCGTCACGCAGCTGCCGGCTGAGGAAAATGATTAGCGGACAAGCAGGCTAACGGATTAACAATGAAGCCATGATCTTAGGCAATAGTAATATGCTTGTAAAAATGTATATATAGGTAGACTATTTGCGGAAGGCAGAGTCAGCCGGACAAGAACATTTGAATCGAAAGAGAATATTAGAGTTGAGAAGTCGAGAGTATCGCCACAGTTTAGTGTAAATAATCGTACCATGTGCAAGCGCAAGTGCATGTGTATTTCTCTTAAAAAGAAGACCCGCGATCTAGTGATACGAACCGCATCCGAAAAAAGCGAATTTCGTAACAATTTGTAATTTCTTATATTTACCTCGTATTGCTTTAATAAATGTCAGCAGACAGAAATTTTCTATAAGAATATGAAGACTGTAGCACGAAAAGCAAAAGCTCGTGAGATCTTACTGCCTTTTCTTTTGACCCAAATGTTGGTTTATCTTGTCATTTAGTTAACTCGGAGATTATAAGAGGGTAAGAATTCGTTAGTAACCTTTTCGCAATAAAATTATTAAATAAAAATTATTATTATTATTATAAATGTAGCCAGAGAATAAATTCTAAGACTAAAAGTCTTAAAGCACTAGCATCTTAGGCTTTCGGTTCTTATTAAAAACTCTACCGCGCTTGAGATTCGAACCCACGACCAATCGATTCTTGCGTGCTCGGCCATTCAGGCGGATATTAAATAATAAACGTCATGAAGGAGAGCAAAAAAAAGAAGTCAGAACATTATAGTCGATCTTTACACTCCCTACAACACTCGCTCGTTTTATTAATAGTACACCAAAAATTACAAATTATTTTCAGGCAAATGCATACTTTTGATGAAAGCTCACACATTGGAGGGATTCCCAAAAAATCTCCTGGGAGGGTCCAAGTTTAGCAAACTTAATTTACTTCCGCAGAATTCTATTATTGTTCACATACACAATAACCTCTATTTACGTTAGGTCCTAGAAAGTCGACCTATATGATGGAAATTCTCTATCGTTAGTTTTTGTACTTATTTGCCACTATTAACCGATTTTCATCATAGAATAATTAATTATATATATATGTTTTTCTAATGAGAAAGCTTACATGGAAAGGGATCCAAGCAATAGGCCCATGCGGTTCAAATTTGATTGACTTACTTTTTATGTCAAATTACTATAATATCGTGAAGGAATTTTTTTCATAGACCATTAACAATGAGGCCCTTATGGCATGTAAAAGCTTACGTGCGGTGGTATTCAAAAAATAGATCCACGTGGTCCAAATTCGGTAAGATTGATTTCTTTGACAATCTTCTAATATGAACTAATTTTTACCATGAAATTTGAAAAATTATACCTTTTTACCTTATAAACCCTCAGCTTTCGTTGGTATGGTTATATGGGAGGAGCTTCAAAAAACTGCCACAGTCAAATCAAATTTTTTCATAACATTTTAGAATGTCGAAACGCAATTACAATATCGACTTGTGTCGAGCAATTGTGAAAATTGCAATTTTTCCGAAATAGTAGATCTATCCGAACCATATTCAGTAGCGTTCTTCCTTCGAAAGATGCCAGTGTCAATATGTCAAAAACTGCGAACGGTAGATTCAACAAAAACACACATGGATAGACATCAGACGGACAAATGGACAGACAAGCTTACTTTCAGAAAATGATACTAAATCGCTCGGTACAATAAAAAGTGGGCCTATCTCAAGTTCTTTTGGATGTTGCGTTCGTTTACGCAAACTTGGTATACTTTGTACCGCAAGGAGTGGTGTAGGGTATAGAAACAGCATTGAGCACCGTCACGGAATTTTGTTTAACGCATATCTCGTCGGTTAATAGGTAAAATTTATTAAGTGCTTGGAAATTCTTATACACTTAAGTAGTTTTACTTGTCAACCGACAATGTGTCAACCTACACACCACGATATTATTATTATGCACTCAAAAGTCAAGATATGGTTTAACTAGACCTGTTTACACGGTCTGACTACCAATTATTTACGCAAATATAGTTTTATTTATTCCACCCAAAAACTAACTGTAAATTATTTTGGGCTACACAAGCAATTAGTATATATATATATGTATATATACACACACACACAAACACAATCTCTCTCTCTCTCTCTCTCTCTCTCTCTCTCTCTCAGATCTATTCGCACTTCCTTCGTCTTTACTTGTGGTCCCATTACCTAAGATTATCAAAGTAAGCTTGTATATGCAATAGAAAATAATTGCATATACAACAACACTCAGTCGAGTTTCTGCCGCTGAAAAGTGAACATTTGAATTTTTATTTTTCATTTTACAGAATAAGTTTACACTTTGAAGGTATAATTGTGTGCGTAGGTTTGTTGCTAATTGAAGTGAACTTTCGTATGACTAGCGTAAGATAGTTGAAGAAATGAGGCTGGCTAGTACGAGAATTAGCGAAATAGGTATGCTTGCGATAAATCGCCACCGCAATACCCGATCTCAAATTATTGAAGAGACCCTCACAATTATGTGACCACACACACAGATCCGACATAGATCAAAATACCCAGCAGCATATTCGCAACAGGCAAACAAAGGCAGAATTAGGTGTAAATGTAACGCCAATTCTTGAGGACGCTATAGCCCTTAGGTGTGAACATAAAATTGCCAAACCAGTCTTAACTTATCGCCATAAAAATGCCGATATTGCATACGCCGATAAATGCGAATGATGCGAATATTGGAAGCAAGATTTCAAAAGTATTATATATTAAGTTAGAAGAAAAGGTTTAGTTTGCACAGACCTGAAGGTCTGTCGCAAATATTTCACATCACCGACAATCGTGCTACGAAAATTAAAAAAAATTATGAAAACGTATTTGGAATTTGGTATGGGATACTACTATAAATGATTTATATCCATATGTTGTAGATTTCTTTCACATTTACATATATAGGTGTTGTAGGATCGACCATAAAATGTACAAATTTTTGTTCTTACAAGCTGATAAGTAACGAGCAAAATAGCCCATTGTGGGTGTGTTTGCTATGTGGAAAAGTATCGAGCACAGACACTACAAAAAGTCGACATACGGACATCCTTCAAACGATTGGAGATTTAATGCCTATTAACAATTTATATACTGTATATAGTCCCGGAAGTGTATTTCTCGGTGTTGCAGACAAGTTGTCCGACAAAATGATCCGTATAGGGTGATGGATATATATATAAAGTTATGTCAGAGAATCATGTTGAAGTAAAATGAAAGATAAGACTAATAAGATTTCTTCTACACAATCTCTGGCGTCGTCATTTAACGGCGGCGGATGCGTCGTCTAAGCGTTCTTTCATAGAGTGATCTTATTAGCCAAACTGACTTCTATTACTTTTCGTAGTCGAAGAATCTTTCTCTTACCCTTTCTATTATCGAGCATATATCCTTCTTACTTAGTTGTGATTGTAATCACTGCAGTGTGATGCGTTAACCTTTCAAGTCATCGACATGAAGTAAGAATCGAAATCAAATGATAATTTTCTCTTTATTAAAACATTAAATGAGCTAAATATTTCTTTTCTTTTATGTTCGAGTATAATTTACTAAAGTGTTTGTGATAATCGGAAAAGTGTATGATTTTGTAAATACATGCAAGTGTTAAGCTTAACGCAACAAATCTCTGCAGTGGAATATGACAATAATAATAATAATAATAATAAGTGTAATGCCTTGAAAGAGATTCATACAAAATTTTAATGAATGTCGTAAAGTATTACAACTATTTGCCCTATAACGTTTTTGAGATAATACAAAATTTGTTCACATTAAGCTATGATTATCTAATGATGCTGCTGTTGTTGCGATTGACGCCACCAACCGCTATTACGTATAGTAGCATAATTTTTCAAGCCATCGGGTGGCTGCGTTACAATTGGAGGGAAAAGATGGGGACCGCCAGCACTTTCTAGACCCAAAGCATTTTGTTGTTGTAAGACAAAATTTTTTGGCGTATTAATATTATTCGATGTATATCGAGTCACAAAAGTTTGTTGATGATGAGGAACAACGGGCAAATGAATATTGCCCGGAGCATGACTAATGGGTGGCAAATACTGCCGACTGTATGGAGCAACAGGCTTCTGCAGTGCTACAGTGTTAGGAGGACCAAAGACAACACTGCGTTGATCGCAGACAGTGCCCTCTATAAGTGTATTTAATGGAGCAGTGTAAATACGGAAATTGATGTCGTCATAATCCAATTCGGAAAGTAAAAATACGGGCATGCGATCCGACAGCACCCAAACATTGTTATTCTCATCAATTTTTACATCAGACGGAAAGACTAAGCCAACATCATCACGATCGACAATACCATGAAATTGCGGCGAATAGGGCATAGATGAATGCCAGCAACCGACAGCATTTTGATCAATTAAATTAAATAACTCGACGCCTTCTTCGCTTATTACACGCGAAGTGGTGTGAGCATTAGGACCGCGCTCGTCTAATGCGACAAAATCATGGTAACTATCCTCGACTCGGGATTCATCGCGCAATATACGCGTAGAAACGGCAAATTGACGATGACTAGCTAACGGGCTGAAGTATAGAGTGCGGTAACCATCAGATTTAGGCGGTGTAAGGGCCATGCCAAAAATGCCCTCTTCACCCCATTGAAAATTGAGCCCGGCCACATTGAAATCGCCACGCAATGGATCTGGGAAGAAATATGAGTGTCCCGAGAAGCGCCAAGATTTATTCTGCTCCCATGAATAGACAATCAAGCCATAACCCAACTCATCGGAGAAATAAGCAAAAGCATCATCGCAATTTTTACCAATATCGACAGCAATATTGGCAATGAATGTATTGGCATTCGTGTCCTCGGAACGTAATTCGTATCGTCTGATGCGAGTATCAGTCGTTAAATCGAATACATTTACCGCATATGGGCATGGATTGGTAGTCGTATTTCCAATGCCTACAGTGCCTGTATCTAAAACCCATAAACGACCGCATTCATCGGCTTTAATACGATAAGCTGTAGTAATGCTATTCGCGCAGTCACCAGCTGTGTTTGCGCGCCAATCGGGATAGGGTATCAATTCAGGTGAGCCGGTTACGCTATGATCCATGTTAATATATGTTAACGTAGCCGGTATACCTGTAAATAAATACAATACCAAGAAACAAATCAATAAAAACACTTGCAAAATAGATGAAGAACACCTTAAATATATAAAAAATTATACGCATAATTGTGACAATATATATGCAAATTAACTTCAGTTTAGCACGCGAGCATCATTAAACGACTAAAACAAATTTAAACTAAACGATTGTGCCAAACAAATAACGTGTACAGAAGCTAATAAAAATTTACATTTTTAACACGAAGTGGCATAAATGGCTCATGTGGAAACCAGCAAGCAAGCAAGCAAGCAAGCGAGCGAGCGAGCAGGCAAGCAAGCAAGCAAGTAAGCAGGCAAGCAGGCAAGCAAAGCCAAGCCAAGTCAAGTATTCTGACACATCTTAGTGCATAAACGGCAGCACAAGTATAATATATATATATATGCACACACAATGAGCTGACATATTTATGACCAAATCAAGACATCAGGCTAAAAGCCTCCCCGAGTATAGCAACTTAACAGAGACCAACTTTCAGCTCTCAGAGTTAGACATCGGTAAATACATATTGTAAGCAAGCGCGTTAATCATCACCACAACAAAGTGGTCGTAAAATATTAAACAAACCAATTCATAAACACACTAAAACTATTAGTTAAATAAAAATAAACAAAGATAATATTTGATGTGTGACATGTATACATGTATATATAATTTTAAGCATCCTCCTCTATAAGTGAATGCATTTACGTAGATATGCACGAAAGCATGTCTACTTGAATCTGATATTGAGTTAAATGCAAACATTTTTTACATTTAACAACTACTCACTGTTAACGTGAAACGGGGAATGAATAAAAAGGTGAATTTTGTTAACAAGGATCTCGAAATATTGGGAATATATCATAAAACTCATAAAGCCTCTAAAGAAATTATATTTACATCACGGAAGAACGAGCATGAAAAGCACTGCATTTTTCATTTGCCAAAAAGTTAAACGACTTGTGAACTCGGTACGGGAATTATACTCGCTACAGAAATTGGTGGAAAGTAGTTTTCAAAATTTGTTTCCAAAGAGCTTTTATGATCAAATTAAAGTTTACTTCTAGTCTACCTACACAACTTAGGCATATAACCTTTGCTAGAGTCCCACGAGCAAAAGTGACCCTAATCAGTGGATACACAGAAGTGTCCTTAACGTAATGGCCAAACACACAAAGGTGAGTAATATCTTTTGTACACGCTTTAGCCAAATGGCGTCTAATCATGCTGTTGTTGTGAGAAATTTTAAACCAAAGCATGTAAAACGCGTCGAATGAAAATCCAGCAAAAACTCCCACTTGCGCGAAAGTGTTCCCTGATGTTGTTCTAAAAATTTTTATTATACCATGTTTTTCAAGAGTTTACGAGCCGTGTCTTCTAATCAAAGTGCCGAAGAAGCCGACTTAAATGATATTTGGTGAAAAGATTCGGCGGACGAGTAAGATATTTCGGGGCAAAAATGCATGCAATTCCCAAAATTTGTGCAAATTTTTTTTTATTTATTTTTTTTTTTTTAGCTCCAACTTCGCGAAGCCTTGTCTTTGTATGCACATACCTGCTTACGCTTAGCATAAGCACATAAATATAAAACATTGCTTGTGGTGTGATAAAAGCAAACGCAAAGCATTTACAAATATTGTGTGAATGTATCTAAGATATGTATTCATATGTCTTACTGTTTATGTCAATTAATATGTTTATCTTGTTTCCCATTGCATTCGCGAATTCCGCATTATCCATTATCTTTAGCCAATGGCTGATGAGGTGGATAACAAGTCTGTCACTTTTCTACTTTTTTTTTTTTTTTTTTTTTTGGTTGGCGCATGCGTCCGGTGGCTATGAATAAACGCAAATCTTAAAAACCTGCCAATTGAAATAAGCATGAAATGCTATCGCGTTGATGTTTTTTTTTTTTTTTTTTTTTTTTTGCTTTTTCTTTAATTTCATTTCGTGTCATCACTTCATTGCAATGCGTGTAAATATGTGCATCAAAAAAAAAACAAAAAAAAAAAACTTGAGTTGACTTGATGCGAGAAAAATCAGCTCTCAAAATATTCATAATTAATAACTTCTTATATATCTTGACAATATATCTTAAGTATATTTTGCTTCAAATGTGGCACTTGATTTAATTGGTTCGCTTGTCTGCAAGATCTGTTAACATCTTGCGGAAAATATATGCGAAGATGTTATCAACTCTAAGCTAATGAGTGCCGTTGCAAGCGGCTCTATTCCCATCTCGCAGGTATAGACAAAAAAAATGCAATTTTTTTCTTTATGCACGATACGGCCGACGATGACAATTGTAAGCAATTGTGTGTTAATTCAATTTATATATTAGCAGTAAAACTTCTTCAACTAACAACATCGGAAAAATAATGATTTTAGGATATATTTGAAAATTTCTCTTATGTCGTAGAAAATATGTTGTTTCATCTATTTAAAGTAAAGAAGAGAAATGCAACCGATGAAAGCTCGAAAAGGTCATAAAACTTACATTAAACGCTGCTAGGACATTTAAGAGGTGCATTCTAGATACCAGCCTGAGCTTTTGCATGACTATTATAGAAAGGTTTAAGTTTGCTCCGATGGTTGCTTCAACTTGAGCGCCATCAATTTCTGATTTGACTTGAAATTTTTCCAAATAGCAATGAACCTAATATTCTTGCACCGCAAACATGCATTGCACTGCACATAACGTGCATTAGCGTTTTCTTTTTTTTATAAAAAAATCAACGATCATAAATAGCGAATACTAAGATGATCACATCTATTAGCATCGAAGAAAGGAAGTCTCTTCATGTCGTCAAAATATTTGCAATACCTGGAAGAGAGATTTAGACAAGTCCCGAAAAGTATACATTTCCTTGATCACCCAGGAATTGTGAACTGACTTGTCTGTCTGTCCGCTCACCTGTACAATGTATGGCGTGGAAAAGTTGAAATTCGTTGCTCACAATCCTAAGACCCGCTTCCCGTACAACGTAACGTGAGAACACCTCCGTTGTCGGAAAAAAAAAAAAAAAATCTTTTTATCTCGTTATATATAAATTAGATCAGATATAGCGATAACTCTTTACACATATACTCTATAATGGATTGACCAAGCCCACCTTTTTATAATTTTGAAAAATCTTCAGAAATCTTATAAAGTATATAAATATTGGTAAAATGAGAACACGATACTCTTCTATATAGGTATAAAAGATTCGGTCATAGTCGAATATAATTTTCTTACTTGTTTTTCTTATCATCTTACCATAAATTCTCGTAAAATCGTTTAACTTTTATTTTAATAGCAAAAACGTTGATGATTTTATAATGAGCTTGAACTACTTATTGCCTAAACACTCTAAACAAGCTTGAAAAATAAATATTCTTTAAACCCGTAAAAACCTGCATTGATCATGTGACTAATACGGCGACAATACATAGTTACGCGTAGATAATTAAATTAAATTAATTTGCAAATTTTCTGTATAATTCTACAATTTGTGTGCTACGAATGCCAAGCAGAAGATGTGACAGTTTCGATTCTTAATATTATGCTCCTCTGTACCTCGTTTTGCAGGAAAGCGGCATAGTAATGATTTGTTGCAATACTTAACACCTGCGTCATCAATGTAAATAATAAGTAAATAATGAATAATTGTAGTAAATATGAAGCATATAGCAATTTGTTGTTTCGTGCCCGCTACTCTATCAAGCATGACATAGCGATATTCATTAGAGAGTTTCACTTAAAAAATTGATCATTGACCCTCTGCAACTGGTAAAGAAGTTTGAATAGGTTTGGAATTGAGATCACAACACTTTATCGCATATACATGCGATGCATAAAGTTTGTCTGTAGTTCTTTTTCGGCCCTTTTTAGAATAGAAAATTCGTTCTATAGCATCGCGAATTTAAAACCGATTAATGCCTTAATTCATCTTTGCACCCAACTTAATGACGCAACAATTAAATATGAGATGATATCGTGTGTTGACAGCTAAGTACAAGTTAAGCTCTTGCTAATACAGGAAACAGTTTTTGCAAGTTTTTAGCGAATTACACACTTCCACGTTTCCATGTCTTATATTACTTACTTTGCATGTAAATAATGTCAAAAAAATTTAAATGAATAAAAATAAATTACTTTCAAATAAAACTAAGCAAGTAACACGCCATTGTCTTAGTTACCTTGTCTTTGCATTAGAAACATGTCTTACACATGTGTACACATGTATTATTTTAAGATCAGAGCAACGCGGACATCTGATAATGACTTTATATATAAAGAGAAAAACAAAAAAAAAAAAAAAAAAAGGGTAAAATGCTACCTAATGCCAACGACAGGTATATTGTTTCAGCGAAAAATCGAATGAGAAAAGTGGAAGCGTTAACTATCGATATAGTTGGTCGGTGGTGGAGATACCAATATGTATGTATGTATGTACATATGTATATATGTATGTATGTATACATTTGTAGGATGAAAGATAAGAAGTAAATAAATATAGTTGGCAGAGATAGGCAAGGTGAAAAATAACTTGAAATGTTTTCGTTTTTCTTGAAATGGTAGATGCTGGGGTTTTCCTTATTTTATATGTAGTATTGCATAAGCTCAACATTGCTTATTCAATAAAATTTACCGTAAATAATACATAATTTAATTTGCTTTCAACGGCTTTTGAAGAGGATGTCGGCGAAATGGAGCTGTCAGTGCGTTTGCATTCACATCACGGATTGATTGTAAGCGCATAAACCGAAAAAGACTTTTTGCAAAAATCTCGACAATAGAAACAAATTGCAGCCACTGCAAGATGGACAACTGTTAGGAGAAGTAATGATGCAGGTAGTGAACAAAGTAAACAACAATATGTTTAGTTAAAAAGCGGACGAAATTAACCTGTTTATGAATTTGTCAAACCATACAAAGCCATTATTATTACGTAACACACCGGAAATGGTATTAAATTTACGTGGACGGACGTATGTACCATCGAAATG